GGGAAGTCTCGAAGGCCCTCTGTGCCTCCTGGCTCCTGCTTTCACCTGTGACTTTGGTCTGGGAGACGGCAGACCTGTCCATTCCTCTGGTGGCTGGGGTGGTCGCGGGCTCACTCGTACCGATTTGCCTCTCAAACGTGCCGCCATTTTGAGCCAGAGAAGCACTCTGGCGGTCTAGATACTCCATGGCTTTCTGGACCCATTCCTCCTTTGGGTCAGCACAGATTAATAGTCCCTTCACAGTTGTCAAGCTGCAAGGAAGGAAGATAGGGACCCAGTGATGCTCAGATGCCATACAGAGTAGGGGCACCATGCAAATGCTCCGCAGAGCTGGCTGGAAATCCTCCCCCCACCACTTATTAGCTGTGAGCTGTGAGCTTCTTCGCTGGAGCAGCTCAGCTTCTGAACTTCTGTGTTCTCACCTGAGAACTGGAGAGAGAGACCTGCCTTTCACAGGGTGACCAATCAACCCCCAAAAAACTGAGACTGAGGAGGATCTCAAGATGCAGGACTTTTTTGTGAAAACTCTGGCAAATTGGGACAAGTTGGTCACCCTACTTCTGTGTTATTGAGTACAGTGAAAATGATGTAAAGCACCTGGCTCGGAGTAGATCAATGTTAGCAATAAAAACGTTCATAATAAAGTCGTTAACATGAAAGGAGGGAGCTTTGGACAGTGAGTTTTCTGACTGGGAGGAGTTGTCACAGCTGTTCTCTGCTACCAGCTGTGTGACTGACATGCTTGGTGTTGGGTCCTCCTCACTGTGGAAAGGACTCAATGTCACAGCATCCTCTTCCTCCTCTCCCTCAGCTACACGCTACCCTCTGGACTGCCACGCTCTGCTCCTAGTGTGTGTCCTCAGGCTGAAAGTGCACCTAGGGACCTACAGCCCTATATATGGTGGCCCCGAGTGCCACGCAAATGTTGAACTTCCTGAAGCTGAGTGTGGTTGGTTCACTGCTGAGATCACAGCTCAGAGCTGGCCACGGCCTGTGCTAGGCATTTTGCCTGTTTAAAATTCACACCCATCCTGCAAGATGTCACACACACACCCATTTTACAGATGAGAAAACTGAGGCTCAGAGAAGTCATGTAAATGTGCCTGGCTCCAGTATGCTGGGAGGCCCGAGAGGTGCAGAAAGCAAGTGTGACCCTGCAGGCCCCTCAGGCGCAGTGCCACCCTGGTGCTGTCGTCCCCTCTGTGGAGCGTCCTACTTCCCCTTTGCCTAGAAAACAGAAGCAAATATATGGGGGAATCTGGGGGAAGTGAATCTTGACAGGTCCCAGAGCAAGTTGGGCACTGGCACACTTGCCCTACTTCGTAACAATCAATGGGAGGAAGAACAGCTTCCTTTAGTGGAGCCTCTACTTCGAAGGCCCACTGGCCATTTCCTGTTGCCAGGCCTCCGGGTCTGGCTGGGTCTTGGCCAAGAGGCTGCTTCAGGACCCAGAAATAAGTCTTGGGGAACGTCCTCAGGGCTGTGCGATTGGGTAATACCCAAGAGGGACCCTAAAGGAGCAAGCAGCCAACATGGCCAGGGGTCCCAACAGCCAGAGGGAAAGCTGGTTCGGCTTGACCCCTCCCCAAGGTCTCAGAGTGTTTTCTATTTCTGCCTCTGTCCAATGGAGATAATAATCTTGGCCTCTCCTATTGTCAGCTTCTTCCAGGAAGGGCAACCTGACAAGAACTTAAGTCTCATTATGTCCTTTCATCCTCCCAACTACCCACTTTACAAATAAGGAAACTAAAGTGCAGAGGGTAGGCGACGTGACCAGGGCCACCCAGTCTGGCAGTGGTGAAGCCAGGATTTATACCAGATCTGTTGGTGTCTGGAGCCTATACTTTCAGATCACCCTGCTTTACCTCCCCAGGAAACCTAACAGGTTCCAGTGCTACAGAAAACACCCTTTGGCCCAGGAGGAATTACCACCCTGCAGGCCATGGCCATTCAGGAAGTCACATCTCACCCTGGCCTTGTGGCACAGATACTAGTGTCGGCAAGGGGGCTGGCAGGTCAGGGGCAGAAGGAGCATTTGCAGAGGCCCTTGGCCAGAAGCCCAGGTTGGGGTAAGAGGATGTGGAGATGGACTAGCAGAGGCCTGGGACCTGAAAGGAATGCAGAGGCCAGGAAGGCAGTACCTACATGATGGCACGTCTGTTGCATGATTCTTGATTTCGTTGGTACTGGACTAGACGATTCACGGGGATCTTCGAGGTGGTCATCTTGTTGCACTGGATGCTGCATTTATTCACACCACGCTGTTGTCCTGAGCCCACAGAGGCCCCCAGTCAGCAGGACTGTCCAAGGGCATCTGGCTTTCCAGCCCCATGCCAGCTTGTCCCAGCCATACCACCCAAGCCAGGATGGATGCCCTGCAAATCCTTGACCTCAGCCCCCCATCCTCGGCCAAACCTCTCCACGCCTCAGTTTCCCCACCTATAAAATAGGGACAACAACAGTATCTACCCTGTAGGTTGTAATAAGGATGAATAAAAATGAATTCTTACTTATAAAGCTCTAATGCCCTGTACGTCGTAAGTGTTTAATTTTAAAAATTAAATTGATGTAGTTGGTCTGTTGTACACCAGGGGAGGTTACCCAGGCAGCAAGTGATGGAACTGGCTCTACTGCCAGGCCTGGCTCCCCTCCCTTCTGGGCCCATGGCACTGCCCTTCCCCCAGCCCTGCCTTTGCCAGAGTCAGTCACCGGTTCACTATCACCCCCTCCCATGCACATCCCATTTCTTCCTCTCAGCCTGATCCAAATTCGTGGATCTCGACCTCTGAGACACACCCAGACCTCTGTCCATCTACATCCCACATGTAGACCCTATGACACATACACACATGTACACTCACAGCAACAAACACAGTGGCACATATACGCTGCCCCCCAACAAAAACACATGAAGGCATACATGTAATCAGACACATGTAGTAGATGATCAAAGTCTTTAAATATGTAAGGACATATTTAGGGAAGGTGGGAGGGGAGAGGGTGTGCTGAGTAGGTGATCCTTTGTGCTGCCATCGTGAGCCAGGATGAGTTTGGAAGCAGTTGCCAAGAGGAACTGAATGGCCTTTTGGATTCCCAGGGCAAGCTGGGGGAGCAGGAGTAAGGAGGAGGAATAAAGGTGGGCTTGTGCATGGGGTGGGGGCAGAGTGGGACCCTGCAGATGGCTGGGTCCCACATGGAGCCAGAGAGAAACTGCAGGACAGGATGAGGGTGACTCAACAGATGGCTGAGAAACCAAATATTTCATACAAACATTCAAAATGGTTTGCACTGCATTTCCACCTCCGCCTCACCCCCTAGAACCTCCACCAAAATTGGCTTGGTGAAAGCTCAAGAAGGGCGTGCAGAAAACGAGGAAGAGCCTGAGTTTCAGATCTGGGTCAAGGTCACTGGCAGAAGAAGCAAGACCCTGGCGGGTTTTGCAAAAATCTAGATGCTAGGACTTCCACAGCAGTGGAATCAAGAGAGCAAACTTATTTAGCTCTGAAGAGCTGAAGAGGCCCCAGGTGACCCCAGGTTCAACCAAAATACACACTGCTTATGCACAAATACTTAGTGTATATGGACACATAGACCAAATGGGCTCTGCCTTCCCAAACAGAGGCGGGCGCACACACCTAGAATCTGCCACCCTTCCTCCCATCACCCGCCTTTCTCCTTGGCCCACCCTGCCTTGTGGGAAGGGGGTTCAGGGCTTGCAGGGCTGTGCTGGGCCATCAGGAGGCAGCACTAGAAGCTCCCGAGATGAGCAAGGGGGTTCCCCGTAGCTGGTCCCTGAGTCACCAGCTGCCCTTTCTCTCTGAGGAACAGGATGTGAAAGACACCTTGCAGCCTTATCGCCCTCCTTCTCCCCCAGAGGGACCTGGAAATGATTCAGCTGCAGCCTCCCCAGGCCCTTGCTGAGGAGAGCCAGGAGCCAGCCCCCTGGCCGGGTCAGGCAGGTGTCTTCCAGGGGAATCCCCAGTGCCCCTGGCTGACTTGGAGCCCAGGAGGCTGCCCAGTGGGCAGGAGGGATAAGTAAGTAAGGTCAGGTCTGACTCTCCTTCCCAGGGTGGAGAAGGCCACTGCCCACCTCCAGGGCTTTAAAGAGCCACAAAGGCAACCTGTCCCCGAAGTCCTCATCCTCTGCCATGGTGCCTGAATGGCCTGGCCAGGCTCTGTTCTTGGTTCTGCCTGGGAAGGTTGTCTAACTAACCTAGGGACTTTTCTTCTTAGAACTGAGGTTTTCTTTCCTATAACTGGAGATAATGCCTCCACCAGCCAGTCATCTATTATGTGTCATGTGAGGGTCAGGACAGGGACCTCATCTGTCTTGGTGTCACAGTGTTTCCCCAGCATCAAGCACAAGGTGGGTAAAAATATTCACTGAATGAAATAATGTATCAATCTATTTATCCCTCCACCCACCTCCCCATTCATCTATCCATTCACCCATGTATCTGCCCCTGCTTGTCAATCCCCTACCCATTCCCTACCACCCACTTATCTCCCTTGCACCCATCCCTACTCATGCCATCCATCCACCTACCTGTGCCTAACTCACCCAGCCACCACCTGTCCATCCGTTACCCATCCTCCACCCCCTTCATCTACCCACCCATCCATCTCTCACCAGCCCACTCATACAACCTTCACCCATCCATCCATTCACCCATCCATTTCCTGACTCAGCCAACACTTGTTTGAATTACTTTTGAGTATATACAAAGACCCAGGCCCTCTCATCCTTAACCCTGAGCTCTTTCTCAAGAAGGTGCTGGTGCTGAGCTTAGAGAGAGCACTTCAATTCCAGTAAATGCAATCAGATCACCGCGTTTACTCAGTCAACCAACAAATGTTGACCTTCCTCATGCCAGTTCCTGTGAGGTGTAGAGGGATGACCAAGGCCCATCTCTGCCCTCAGAAGTCTCCCAACCTGATGGCCAGCTAAAACACAACCACAAAGTACCAGAGCTTTTCTTAGTGGAGCACCTACTGTGTATTGGACCCTATGCTCAGCACACACACATATCTGCTCTCATTAATTTCCAACATCCCTGCAAAGACAATATTTTATCCCAATTTTAAATATGCAGAAGCTGAGGATCAGAGAGGTTAAATGACTTGCCCAAGGTCACATAGCTGCTTAGTGGCAGATCTGGTTTTCCTCCCAGCTCCTAAAGGTTTTCCTCCCACTGTTCTAGGCTGCCTTAAATGCCAGGTAGGAACACCATGTTTCAGAACAGCCCCCAAATGTGCTGGGGTTTACATGACGGAAAAGACCCTTCCAACTGCAAGTGATCAGGGGAGACTTCTTGGAGGACGTGTCCATTAAGCTGGTACTCAAGGACTATTTGGAGGATTACAGGCAGGAAAAGACAGGAATGTTCTGGGTCTCTGGGTCTTTGGATGATAGAGAGAGGGCTAGAGCCATTGCTAATCTGTGTGTCCTGGACAAGTCACTTAGGCTTTCTGAGCCTCCCTGTTCCCTCACCTGTAAAATGGACATAATACTGGCTTCACAGGGTGATTATGAAAATAAAGTTTTTAAAATAACTGGACCGTTAAAGCAGGGTTTCCTCAACAGCAAACACCACTGACATTTAGCGCACATACTTCTTTGTTGTGGGGGCTGTCCTGTGTACTGCAGGGTGTTTGGCATCGTCCATCCCTGGCCTCCAAGCACTAGATGCCTAGGCACCCCAACCAAAAACGCTGGCACATTTGGAACAACAACAAATGTCTCCAGAAACTGCCAAATGTCCCCTGGGGGCTAAATCCCACAACTGAGGACACTGCCCTAGAGACACCCACACGACTCCCTCCCCTGCCTACCTCAATGCCTCCTTCTTCCCTGACCCCTTACTTAAAATGTCAACACCCCCATCTTTTTTAAAATCGCAGTACAGACCAAATCATTTACTGATTTGTTTTGAATGTTGTCTGTCTTCTCCAGTTGATGTTCAGCACCCTGAGGGCTGGAATCTCTGGCAGTTTTATTCACTGATGTGGCCCCAGCACCTAGGTCAGTGCCTGGCACAGAGTAGGTGCTCACCTATTGAATGAATCAACAAAACGCACAAGCAAGCGCCTTGTGACATATAAAATTTTAGCCAAAAGAGAAATAAAGGAATTTTTATTTAAATATGACAGGGGCCTGGATCTGACACTCTGGATTTATCCTCCCCTGCCTCCCCCAACCACCCCCACCGCTAATCAGAGGGGCAGACGACATCAGTTTAAGTCAGATTTTTTTTTCTCTCTCTCTTGCTGGGGCTTGAGTGGGAGTGAATGCGTCAGTGCTTGGGGAGAAAAATTCTCTGCTCTGACTTGTATCTGCAGGTTTGTTATATAAAGCAGAGGAGCCTCCCGCCTGACACAGCCCTGCAAACCCACATTTGGGAACCGACGCAGCCACCCTGCACCAGCCAGGGTGGTAGCCACAAAGCCCCCAGCCCCGCTCCAGGCCTCTCTGGATTGTGGACCACTCCCTAGTCCTACAGGGGCTCCCAGGGGGGCTCTCAGAGCCACAAATGTCCATGTGCATGAGGACCTCCAAAATGAGCCTGGCCAAATGCCCAGTCTTGTGGGAGCAGAAACTGAGGCTCAGAAGGGTTGAAATAATCTGAGTATCTCCCAGCAAAACCAGTGACCAAGGTTAGGACAGGAACCTGATGATTTTGAAGCCTCAGGGTGCTGGTTAGAGCATCCAGAGTTCCCCCAGGATCCCCTCTCCATCTCAGAATGGAAGCCCCCCTACCCTGCCAGTTTAGTCTAAGTAATCCTCCTCCCACTTCCAAAACGCCCTCTAGGCATAGGAGCCTCACCACACAGGAGGCAAGAGCTATATTTAAAGGTGCAGTAGCTGGGACCAAAGAAGGCAAAACCCCACTGGGTTACGGCTATGGCAAAGCAACCTCCATCTGACTCCTTGTTTTCCAGTACTCACTATCCCTAAATACTTAGGGCTCAGGGTTCAAGCTCAGGAAGGAGGAAGGCCAGTGGCACTTGGCCCCCACCATACCCAACCACCTGCTCTCTTTCCCACTGGTGGATTTTCACCACAAAGAGGGAGTGAGGGGACAGTTTGCTCCATGGACATGTCCTGGAAGCTGGAGACTGGCTCTCATTTCCTCAGACTGGCTGTGTGCCCTAAGCTAGGTTCCCAGCCTCTCTGAGCCTCAACCTGCCAGATGGCCTGGGTACCCCCTGCAGATGGGGCTGACTCAAAAGGTTCTTGGAGGCAGTGTGACCCACAGAAGTGGCGAGCACGCATCCACACCCTCTCCTGCCTCCATCCAGTCTTATCCTCTCCTGCCCTACTTGCTAACTGTGCATCCTCAAGCCCGTTTCTAAACCTTTTTGGGCCTCCATCTTTCTCATGTCAGGTGGGATGGGTACATCATGCCC